TTGACTTCAATTATAAAAATACCATTTACTTAACTTTTAAATGCTTCTAAGTCCAGAGTTTTATAGAACTGGCTTCATTTTCTAAAATCCGGTTGGATGATCATATATTTGTTTCTTTACTAGCGGCTAGTATTAATTTCCTCAAAAAGCTATCTAACTTGCGATTCCTACCTTCATGCATCCGAAAAAGGTAAATAAGAATTATCTTACGATTTGAAGGTACAAATTTGTAGATGAAAAACACAAATTAAACATAGAAAAGTTTTTCTTACCTGAACAACACTGAACAGATAAAATACATTTCATCATTCGTAAGGTGTTGTAGGTCAATAATGTAAATGATCTGTGTCGAATGATTAGCGGCCAGCTAACGCTGTGGTTAGTACTTAACGTGAATTACCTCTTTGTCGTATCCAGGTACTTTGTCTGCTTTGATGATTGTACAACAAAAACGACGTTATTACAGAGATATATTAGTAAGAGTAGGTGCGTGGAAGCAAGTGTGACCACCACCTCATGTACCAGTCCACGATGTGCGATTAGCTGATGCGTGTTGGTTGTTCCTGACCTTGACGAGGACCGGTGATCTGTTCGACATTCAGTGACCTAACTGCCGTAGCGATTTGGCTAGGACTCAGTGACATTTCACTAGTCCTAAAGTGTAAATAGTACACAATATTTTCACATACTGATAGACAGAAATGCCGTACAATGACAGTGTTTTGTTCCAAGGTACCATACATATACCACAAACAAAGAAGACCAAAAAGACAAATGGAAGGAACACGAAAACTACTATAATACCAAACTAGCAATCAATTTTTCGAAATGAACATCCGGATTTTAGGTGATAAACATCTTTATAAAGTGTACTAAATTAATTAAGTTTAAGTAAGTTAAGGATTAATCTACATATAGACTTTACGATCTAAGTCTTACAGTAGTATTTCATGTCAATAATTCTTAGTTTTTCCTGAATCTTCAATATGTACTTATTTCAGTTACATGAGTTTAGAAAGTGCTAATTAGTTAAATTCATACTTAGGTACCCATTTGGTTATGAAAACCATCATTTCACTTCAGATTATGGGGATTCCTTGACAGGTTTTTGAGCTAGATGGTACTATAACTTTTTTACGTTTTCAGTAATTTCTTAATGGAAATCACTCCTTCATAAAAACTTAAATCATGCTGCTCAGTTGAATTTATTGACATCTTTCTTGATACTGTATTAGACTGTTCACTAGTTATGTAATGCTCGAAATATTTTTGATTTTATTAGGTTGGAGGCTATCAGATTAGAAGTAAGAGCTAATTTGAAACCTGTAGCTGATTCACTTCTTTCAAAAGCACTTCAAGAATGCCCAACATCTGGTTGTTTATGGGCTGAGGCAATATTTATGACTCCTAGAGCTCAGCGTAAAAGCAAGTCAGTGGATGCTTTAAAGAAGTGTGAACATGATCCACTGGTACTTCTAGCTGTATCCAAGTTAGTTTCTGTACTAAATATTTTTCAGACTACTTGTAGCCCTAGGGTAGTTTAGTTTCCGTCATTTTATCAATGGTGTTGGTTTTTCCGATATCCTGATAATTATTGTCTTCGACTATTCTATGACGTTTTTTAGTGTCTGTGACACACTAACTATAAAAGAACTTGAATATTTTCATTAACAGTCCTTATATCAGTAGTGGCATAATGCGAAAACTTGTCTGGAATTTACCATTGTGTAAATACGGTATTCTATGTCGAAATCATACAGTTTGCTTGATGGGATGAATCAGAATTAAATTGGAAAATAAATTTCCTCTCGTTGCTGTGGCCTCATTATATCACACCTTTGATTTGAAATCGTAGTATTGCTACGGTACTCGTTGCATATCATGCATTTTAAATTATTTTCTCTATTAAACCACACAGTTTCAAGTCCAAATGTATTCTCACTTCCAGCCACTGTTTTAATTTCTGTCTAACATTGTTGTTCCTCTTAAAAGTAGTCTGTCTCTAAATCTACCACACTGAAATGCACATTAAAGAGTTACTATTTGTCTGTAGTTACTGTGTCTTCGTATACTAAAAGACTGAACCTCAGCGTATATACTCGTTTGAATAGGAAGAATTTTCAGTGTATTACTTTTTCTCTAACTGTACGGAACATGTTGGGGATAGATTGTATTCTCCATAACGTTTTACCTTTCTTTTTCGGGTTGTATGATTAAACTGTATTGATCATTATCATAATGGCATTTTATCAGCTCTCTCCCATCATTGTTAAGTTTACAAAGTAGTCAGCATTTGAATTATTGAGATAGTGAAGGTTTGTTGCTTAGGCGAACAATTTTTGCAGTTTCTCTGAGCTGGATCCAACTGAGAAAATGAAACAATCAAAACTCGAATTACTAACTTTTACAGTACTCAAAGATTTCTCGTGCATATATAATTGTTACAAATAAAGTGTTAGTGCTTTTTAATAATCAGTAATGTAATCATAAAAAATACATTTTGAATTACATTTGACAATCCCATCTTATTTTTCATTACTTGTGTTAGGTACGAAAAACATTATCCTCAGTTCTGACTTCTTTTTGTCTCACTTGGATAACCTTAGGTGTTTTCAACTGTTTCAACTCGTCGTTAAGTACTAGAATATCACTTCTCCTGAAACCACTGACTTAAAGTTATATCTCATGATTAATTGAGATGTAACGGCATGTGTACGTATAACTTAAAAATGAAGGTAGATAACACTCTCGTTCATAGATCCATGGAGGCTGTCCACAATCCCCTATGGGTTTAAAGAACCGGTTGAAACCTAGAGTATGGTGATGTCGAGATTAACGTCCTCGTTGAACGTATCTCGGATGAAGTGAAATATATATACTGATATTTTTCTGTTTAGTATAGAACCCGACCTAAAACCATCGTATAATCCACATAGTTTTTATTATTTTATTTGAACACATAGATATTGGTACAAGGAAGCACCAAATACATATGCGCCACACAAATCTCATTTGATATGTGTGAAGGCTGTGATACTGCCCGGGTGCCCAAACCGAAGCAGGTGGTTTCCTTAGGGAGCCACACCCGAAGCCTTCGACCTAAAGGTCTGATCCACAAAGCGGTGGAGCATCGTATGGCGATGCAGTCCCATGGTAGCCGGTGACCAACGACTGGTTTATACGCCGTTTGTTCACTTAGGATACTGGAGCTCACGTGCACCATTGGTTTGGAGTCAGGGTTTTCCGACTCCCCTAGGTGGACTCTCTGTGCCCACCAACCGGGTTAAAGCGCCGGACATTCGCTTTTCGTCCTGTCAATTTCGTAAACAACACCCCTCCACAAGAAGGCAGTGAGTAGGACTTCCCTGGCAGAAGCTATATACGCGTAGCCATGTGAGAGCATTTCGAGAGGGTGAGCGGACTCTCCCCACTCTCGGCCGTACCAGGGAATGTGGAGGCATAACAGGATGTTACTGCATTCCATAATTTATCAGTGAATTCAAGTTACTGAGTTATGTCCTTACTATAGAAACTTAAGGTATCATGGAATATTGAAAGCCTAGTGATTCCTAGCTATTTTAAACTGCTGTGAATCATAGAGCAGTCCAGAAACGTTTAGAAATCAAGCTTATTATTAGTTTAAAGTTAAACTGTTTATTCGCTTGACCTTGAGCAACACTTCAATTGAATTTCAAATCCAGCAGTATATCAACATTTATGTACACAAATCTCTTGAAAAAATATTAATTATTTCAATTGGTATTTGTTCCATTTTTATGGGACGAAACTATTTGTTGAACCTGTCATATTCACACTAATAGCTGTAGTTTCCAGTTTCATAACCATGTCGTGGTTAAAACTCAGAGGAAAACAATCACACTTAATGATTGTACAGAGAAAAACAATTGAAGAAGTGATGAGGACAAATTGTTGTAATCGGGTGGCTTGCCTCTCCATCAAAGTTATTTTCATATGAACAGGATGTCAATAATTCATAAACTTCGATCGATATTTGACCCCATTACAAACTGTTTTTTTCTAAGGATTGTTATACTCTGCTATTTTAGAATGTTTTGGTGTGAACGACTGGTCATGAAAGCTCGTAATTGGTTTACAAGAACAGTGAAACTAGAACCAGATCTTGGCGACGCATGGGCTTACTTTTACAAATTTGAATTACAACATGGGACGGAAGTGAGTTTGAAAAGTATTTCTATATTTTATTAATACTGTCTTGTAATTATACTCACATAAACAATAAACTAGATTAAGTGCTTAGTAATTGAAATACTCAGCTTTAAGAATGAAGTTTTAGGTTAAAATCCTACATCGTCTTCCTCCTGATAGTATCGCCATACCTCACGCAAAAGGTATAACTCAAAGCTGAGTAGATAAATTTGGACTATGTTAGAGTTACACCACATTTAATTAGTTTGGATTTTGTGTTTACAAACAGATTAGCACTAATCATGTCAACTCGTGTATTTGTCGCAAAATATCAAAACGTCTGATAAGCTTAAAGGCTAATTATACACCGAGGCATTAATTTTTTCTGTTAATCAACACCATAAGTTCAGCCAGGACGCAAAGCACAGCTTATAGTATATGATATGATTATGTACATAATTAATGTTCTATAGTTGATAAAGTATCAATAACTTCGGGATTTTATCTTAATTTCATTTTGTTTAGGATCAACAGAAAGAAGTATACCGACGTTGTGTTACTGCAGAACCTCATCATGGTGAAGTATGGTGCCAAATAAGTAAAGATCCTAAGAACTGGCGATTAAAAACAAAAGATTTATTAAAAATTGCAGCAGAAACAATTGTTTTACCAAGTTGAATTTGTGTGCTTCGATTCTGTATTTGTATAATTCTTGCAAACGGACAAAATCTGCAGCGTATGTTGTGTATCGTAAAAGTCAGTAACTACTATCAGCCAACTTTCGACATTCATTACACGTAAATGACAACTCATTTTTCGTTTTAGACATCATGTTTGGTTTAATAAAAAGCTAAAGATTTATTTAATTTCTTCTACTTAATCGAACATACACAGTTTTATATATGTTTTCAGCGATGTCGGTCAGAAATGCATTGGAGGCAGTTTCTTCACTCCACTTGTTTTACTTCCTAGACCATATTTAGAATTAAATGTTCGATTTCTGTGTAAAGAGAAATTAATTGTCAACGGTTAATTAGATGTGTTTTAAAACATTACAAAATCACATAATATATTATTAACTGTGTGCCGTGTGTTCTGTAAATATAGCAAAGTAACTTGTAATCATGCATATATATGTCTAGGTAGTTAAGATACTTGACTCCCACACACTGTTTTGCACATTCTAGTACTTTACATAGTCTTTGAATGAATGACTAAATGGCAGTATTATAATTGTAAGCACAGTTCCAGCTTTCCAGTATATAATGTTTGCCTCTCAGATATAGTTTCATTTAACCGAACTGAGTTGTTGTGTAACTGAAAGCTGGATATGATATACTGGTAAACGTAATTAAAGCAACTCCTGAATATATCCATAATAATTGGGACAACTTTGCTGTTTTTTTCCTTGGAAAATTCAGACTAAAAGTTGAGTAGTGTATAGTCTATTATACCGTTTCACTGTTTTGCCTGTGGTTGCAATTTTATTCTATATGGTAGTTAACAGCTACACATATACTCCTACCTAGTCGGTGAGAGTTGACCGCATCGTATACTTATTTAAAATTCTTAATGAGCATTCCAAATTATCTGGTGTCCACCAGCTCATCAGGTGTATCTCACTCGAACGATGTCATAAAAGTTACGGTTGTGTAATGAGAGCATATGTTATTGGTACTGCCATATCCGTTGGTTAATGCTGTTTTCATATATACTTTTGTAAATAAGTGTAACTGTAGAAGTCATTAGAGCTCTCAATACATACATTGGCTTCACTTTTTACTCTCGTGGGCATTCAAAGACTTCGATTATAAAGCGAAATCGTAGTATTTTTCCGTACTTATCGCAGGAATAAAGTAAGTGAAAATGCATTTTTTTATGTTTTTAGCATACACTTGTTACTTGCATAGACTGTTGACACAGCTAAGTATATCACCACTTAGCAGTCTTATTTTAATCGACACAGTATTTCATAATCTCCTTTATTAATGTCGATACTAGTCTTGCGTTTACTACGTTATGGTTTTGGACCTGGAACACCAAGTTTCGGTGAGCTATTTTCTCAGAAATAGACCGACTCTTCGGGTTGATACATACAGCTACGCAACAGAAGATAAGTATAGGAAATCTCGTAAATCTTTGCACAATCGTTTATTGACTGAAATCATTGCACTTTCTAACAGTGTACAGATATTCAGCAAAATAAAAGAAATCAGTTGGCGAAAACGACACGAGTTAACGTAGGAAATCGGTTACTATGGGTTAAGCGCTTCACAATCTATGAGAAGTAAAGAAATCAGTAAATCTGATTAATCTTAAGGAATTTTCAGTTATCTCTTCCAATGTCTCTAAGCACCGATCCCTAAATTTTTCACAATGGAGCTTGGGTCGAGTGTTTTACAGTCATTTATACTTGAGCTTTAAGATTTACCAAAAGTTAAAACACTCAACACGCGTTTCCTACCCACAAAATCTAAGTTAGTGTTGCTGAACTGATGATTTAATATGTTTGTTCAGCATTAGTAAACATAGACTTTGTATTAATCATCATGCGTGCTCTATGTGGACGTGAAATATCCGGTAGGATCAACATAACCTTATTACGCAACAATCTGAGGCTCTAGTTCAATCATGCCATGCTTTTGTGGGGTTTGTAATTTATTGATCTTCAATGATATAATACAATTGAGTGTAGTTGTCACTAACAATTGCAACATTGGAAAGGTTAGTATAAAAATAGTCCTCTGCTGTGTTCATTGGTTCTGATGTATTTAAAAACCGAATTCACCAACTAATTCTATGTTATAGCCAAAGTTCCCTCGTACAACGTTTAAGCTTTGAATGACATTGTATGGAAAAAATGTTGACGCTTATTTGTCAGTGATGTTCCAAATTACGTTGCTGATATTTTGAGAAAACTAGGTTATTGGTTTTTTTTAAATTTTGGTTTCCGAATTCCATGAAACCTCGAATTTTCATTAAAAGTCAACATTTCAACACGAGCGTAATACTTTTTAGGAAAACGCACATATAATTTTCTCAAGTGATCTACTTATGTTAAAGCACATTCAGGTTATTGTTGACAAGAAATGTTTTATTCCAGATAAGCTTCTAGTAATATTTTATTCACAAGTATGAGTTCATTGAATAATAAATTCCAAGAATATCATATTTTTATAGAAACAGAAAAAATACCGTGAAATGTATATCACGTCACCTTAATCTTAGCAAAAACTAAACCTACTGTGTCTTCCTCACTAGTTTATCACTTTCATCTTCTTTCTTCTCCACAGGATGCTTACTTACTGGTGCTGGTATATATGTATAGTTTAATTCAATGAGTGCGCGTTTTCGAATTTCTGTAGCCCAGTAATAAGCCTAAAATACGTTAGCAAATCAAACTCTATTGTTGTTATTCATCCGTATTACGGAATTCGTAGTAGAAATTAAGTAAATTCAAGTTACCTTTGGAAATTATACCATCATAAGTTTCCTGGCTATGAATTTAAGCGGTATGTCGAGTTAGGGGTTTCTTATTTGTTTTCATTGGCTCTAATACTTGAAAATTGGTATATTTTAATCCTATTTATTTTTATGACTACATATTTTCTACAGTCAGAAAATAGTAGTGTTCGTTTTCTCACTACAATATTGAGTTTGTTCTTCGCTGGTTAGTACACCGTTGTTATTCAAAATATTTGTTAAATCTTGACCCTGTAGTTCACTATCACCAGTTTAATATTTGATAGGAAAATATTTGAAGTAATCGGTAGGTTTGTGAGTGTACTCATTTCATTCCTTGAGTGAGTAATGACGTAGTTATATTTTATGAGATTCGAAAAACTTGATAAAACTTTACATGGTCGTTTTTCGTTTCTTGACTCTAAAGAAGTATGTCAAGCACATAACAACAGCCAGTCACTGAGTTTTAGTACGATTCTGTGAAATCACATTGTCTTCTAGGTTATAGATTCTACCCCTCAATTATCTACTACTTCCTTTGTTGTAAATTTTACATCATTTCCTTATTGTGATAAAGGTGCTTACATATAAGTTGTGTATTGACTCTACTTTTTTAGTCATCCATACCATGTTAACATTGGCAGGATTGTTTCTGTGTAGAACATTTGGTGCACAATCAACAAACATGGTACCCTTTGGTCTTCGTTTTGCTATTATTTATCAAGAGTACTTTACAACCTTCAGTCCAGTGACTCAGTATAAGTAAACTTCAGAAAACTAGACTCTAATTGGTCATTTCAGGGTCACTCAAATTACTCTCAAGTGGTAACAGAAGTTTGTAGCATTGCGGGTTGCTGTTATTCACTGATTAATATAAGTCGAACATAAATCACTCTATTTTATAAAATAAATAGAAGGTATATCATGGTGTTAATGGCTGTCTGCAATGAAACTCAGTAGGCGTCATCTAGTAGTTATTTTACGGCGAGGATTCGTTTCTATACTTTCTCACTCGAAGGTGAAAAAATATGCAACGAGACACATAACTTCTTAAAAATACAGCATCTGCTGATTTCAGAGTTCATGGACAGTAAACACATTTTTCCATATGTCTGTGGAATCTGCTATTCAACTTGATGTGGTTGAAACGTATACAAAAACCTTCGTTCAGCGATCTTATCTCACCTATGAAATATCTGAGATGTCCATCTCTCAATAAAGTTTCTTTTACAAGAAATTTAAGTATGAGCAATAATCATCAGGTTACTTTTGGTTGCCTGCTTTCTTCTGTGACGGTTAAATTTCATACTTCCTGGATGAATTTGGGTGCATACAGCTAAAACAGTGTTGTTGGACAATTGTGCCAGTTAGAAATCACAGGACATTTATATGACAACCGCTAGAAAAAGATACCATATACGACATACCGTATGGATGGAAGCCTTATGGTAGAGAAACGATAGTGTAGTTTGACAAAAATGATACACTACTTAAATTTCTTACCATGATTAAGTGCTGCTTTTCTTCTTAGTCAACAGATTCATGTTTCAGAACTATTTATTTATTAGGAACACGCTTCTGGTGATTAATACAGACATGTATGGTTCACATAACAGGATACTCAGATCAAGCAAGTGGAAGCTAAATCTATTGTATTGATTGCCTTGGGTGACTAATTCTGATAAATCTATGTTTGTTCATCTAGTTCCATTGTTCTGTTGATCTATTTATGTTTGAGATGCGTTGACTAATTGACTTTCTGAATAGTTTGAACTCATTTCAGTATAGTGCAGATTAAACCTGTCTAGTACAATCATGAACTCATTTTATTATAATCCAACTGCTATGTATTTTATTACTAGGGTTATTTCCACGTTATTACAATTCCTAGTGATCCTAATCCCGAAACTGATATAAACCCAATACAATTATTGAGACTTCTTATTCTCAAATCAGTCCAGTACTATTTTTACTTCAGTCTGTTCTACTCTACCGTACTTTGTTTCTGTTTATTACCATTGTACATGTTAGTTGATTCAACCACTTAAATTTACATTTAGAAACATTGGTATTTAACCTATTTGTTACGGGCCATTGATTTAAAGACAACGAATGCCAAATCATTGCAGTGGTTATTAAATTTTGAGTTAAAGAAACTATTCAAGCTCTTGACAACCAAGTGAAATCATTATTTTCTAAACTGTTGGAAAAATTCGTCCCTCCTAGTCGAAACAGCATTTTTAGCTACACGTTGGTTACAATGGAACAAAGCCCTAAGTAGGTTCGCATAACTATCCGTGAGTTTATATAATCTTTCTTCCCAATGTTTGGGACCGTCTTGTAGACCAACGCAAGCAAATGTCCTTCAAAGTGAATTTTGTTACAGATTCTTCTAAACCCAAAACTATTTGAAAGTTAGTGAAGAAGCAACTCTTCAGTTTCCCTACCTAAAATATACTTTGAGTGACCCTGATCACTGGTTGAGAATCAGTTTGTATGGGTAAAATTACGGTCGTAAATTACTGTTTTGATTTTCCAGTTTACTCTAAAACTAGCACTCAATTCGTTGGATTTCATCAACTGCTGTCTCTTTGAAATTTATGGAAACACATCATCCTGACCAATGGAAATAACATTAGTTTACCTCAACTCAGTTTCTATAGCATCCCTCGTAGCAACCTTACGGTCACTTCTTTCCAAATTGCACTTAAAATAAGGACTATTCTTCGCTCAGATATCTCAAGTCAAACTCATCAAAATCCCTTGATAAGGAAACTGATGAGAGGCAGTCACAAAGTGCGAGTGCCTTATGTTTTTTATCATCATTGAGGGAATAAATATGCCTTTGAACTGAATAAAAAGGAATCGCTAGTGAAGTATTCAGAGACATTTCAATTTGGTACTTTTGCACGATAATACTCACCTTCCCCTCCTGATCGATCCTCGATTCCAGCTCGCGACATAATTTAATTATGTACGTACGATAATCCTCAAGTTCTTGAACCGAATCTTCGTCAAGATCAATGTAGCTAGATAATTTTGAGCCCCTTCTAACAGCACGGTTTACTTTAAAATTCAAGTGGCATAGACATAAAAAATAAGTATACTTGTTCGTTGAAGTGCTTTCGCCTTTGGTATTTGCTGATCGCAGAAGAAGAATGCCCTTTTGTAGTAGTCATTCATCTCTTTCTGAATTAAATATCTCGTCTTCCATTCATTATCTAAACGGATTTGGATTAATCTTCTTAATTACCTTCATCTTCAATTGAAGCCAGCTGATCCTCTAAAATGTCGATGGATTCTTCTAGTTTGCAGTTTGTCTGCCTGAGAAGATTTCTGAAACGTGACTATTCAAAAACAAATGTTACAAGCTTATTTTCTCTTGTTCTATTTGATCTGAAAGCGTCAGTTTGTCTACAGTGTTAATTATTTCGAGGCTCATTTGAACAAATTTTAAAGTTCGCACGGTGTAATCGCAACGAATAGTTGTTATTACGTTTGGTTGTAATGTTTAAACACGAGATTTAGGTGTTACTTCACTTAACGAGCACAATAAACTAGAGGAAGCTACAATAAGACGACTAAGTAAAAACATATCATCTACTTACAATTTTTAGCTAGAAGCACTATAAGATTCACAACTAATATGCAAATTGAAGAGTAGAATAAACAATGTTTATCCTTTCGCAGGTTTGAAACTAGTTACAGTGTTGCTGCTTAAATTAACACTCCTGGTTGCTATGATAAAGTTTAACTAAACAAGTGAAGTGTCACGTGAACGTGAAAGAACATGGGGATTTCGATGATCGTAGGATTTGTCTCCGTGCAGTTTGCTATGAGGCAGGGAGTCTTTCGATGAGCAACAATAGGACAAACACTGCGACCTATTTGGTACGGATGACATGCCTGGTAACTCGCCCTCAGGTTTTGCCGTAAATTTTATATCCAATATCTTCAACGTGAGCTCAAATAAAGAGACCGGTTTGTCTGTGTTCTTTTTTATCATCTCGGTAAAGTCCACTGGGTGGTAGTCTACCCTCTCAACTGCACTAATTGCAGACAGTTTCGTTGTTATTTGTGGGTTCTGACCACTGCTGCTACATTGAAGCTGTGGTCGAGCTTGTCCTTCCTGGGGACTCAGCCGAGCTAAAATGGCTAGTACTCACTCTTTATAGGGTTCCTCTTTGCCAGGTTTGTCGGTTGGAGAACGGTCTTACAGGGAAACCGTCTTGCTTACTTAGAGGGGTTTGACATCAGTAAGGTGCTTCACGTTAAAGATAACTGTATGGCGGTCACTACCTCCCATTATTGTGTAAACATGGATATCTCAAACTATGAGCTGATCAGTTTTTACAAATAATAATCTAATTTCGAGAGTTTGTTGACTTTATAGCACTCATGGTACCACTAATGAGTTCAGTCAGTGCTGAAATTCTAATGGCTATGTCATGCCGCCTATGTAACCAACCTTAAGTGTTTTATCCTGTTAGCTGAGATTTAGGGACTGCGTGTTGAAGTCTCAAGCTGATAGTTTTGTTGTCATCTGTAATACCCCATCTTTTCGGTCGTCAGAACCTGTGAAGTGCTAGTGTAGTCTTACAACCAAATATTTTGAGCCGTTCACGCAGAAGCAAAAGCAGTATGATTCTGTCATTTCGGATAATTTAGTAACATGTTTTGTGAGGGCATTGAACTGCGTGTCAGTGTATTTCGCCACTGAGCATCCCGTTTTCTGGGCTCTATCACATAGGAAAAGCGTCATTCCTTGAATGCTCGCTTCGTCATCCATGATGTCAGGGTAGAACCATGTGTCATTTAGAACTATGATCTTCAAGTCCAACTGCAAGCACATGCTATTGATCATTACTAATCAACCTACTAGTCTTCTTACGTTGTTGAAGAGAATTTCGGCAGTTTGTCACATCACTTGGTGCCCCTCTACAGCAGTTTATCTTCTGGTTTTTAGACTAGTCAATGTGTTTTCTGCCTGTACAACGTGTCTCATTAGCGGGAACTTGGTGTCCTGTACCGTTTGTTGGTGAACGACGTCAACTGACACTAAGGTGTGGGGAAGTACCTGAGTTTTGCTCTCTCTGATTTGCAATCATCTGAGGGTTGCCTCGAAGAGCATGGTAGGTATATTTTAATTGTATGCTCATGTTGAGGTGACTTGACGTACCTAATATTTCACCTGACATTGTCAGATCACTTCTTATTCTTGCTCAGAGGGAATAATCGCATGTCGTAGTCTATCTTCTCAAGATTCATTTTTTAGCAACACCACCCATTTAGTTATTCTTTTCTATTCTTGATCTGCGAGAGTTGCGTCTATCTTGAAGAGACTGGGCACAACAGCATTTTAGACATCAAGGTGAGGCTGTGAGTTTGTTCTTGACAATGTCGAGGGAAGTTCCGGAGTGATTTATCCAAGTTGTTTTCGCATAAAGTGAATAGTTGCATCTTTCTTGACTATATGTTAAATGCAGTTTGAGCTGGTGTCTAATCTCTCTGTGGTTGCTAGGCCCAAATCTCGCTCTGATGAAACAATCCATTGAGGACGTATAATCTTTGTGTCAAATGAGCCAGAATGTTAATGACGTGATATTTCAACAGGCCAAGTTTTAACCAATTGTCTGCCTCCTGTTCCTCCACTGTTGTGAATTCCTTTTGAAGCTCAGGTGAACCTCAGAATCCCAGGGTATTCCACATATATTTAATACTTTGTTCGCGATAAGCTAACCAATTTCATACCTAAATCCTCTATATCTCATTGACCAGACAAATATTCTATCAAACCATTCGGCTGTATTTGATGGAGAGTAATAAAGGTACTCGGAAGCATTTAAAGTGAGCTAATGCTGCGGTTAACTAGGTTTATGACCATTACATAGTAAAACCACTAATCCGAAACAAATTTTCTATGCAGACCGGTCCTGTTAGACACAATATATCTGAGTGTATCATAGTTTTTACCATAAGGAATAGGTTAACGTTACAAGTAAGCGAATATTATGTTGATAAATAGTGTCCTGGAACACACGGGTATTGTCGTAGTAATAATAATAATAATAATAATAATAATTTATTCTCAAATAACAGTTTGTTACATGAGGCATGCCAGTTTACAGGCAAGATCAAATTGATACAAATGATACAATATACACTGTATTAAATTACATAGCTGGGTTGAAAATTTATAAGGCATGAATGTAGATGGTTTTAATCAGTACTACAGTTGGCGCGCTTCACGAGAGTTGCGTTGTGAATGTGTGACTGATGGTCAAGGATAGGTCCATTGAAGGTATGAGCTTCTAGAAATCGCAACCTTATGTCCCTTTGGGATATCCAAGGCTTTAGGGATGGTGCAGGATGAAGTAACCCGTTCCATATCTCAAGGGGGCTGAAAGAGGGAGCAAGTAAAAGAAAACACGAGAGGCAGAGTAGCCAATATTCATGTAGGAATGTTTAAGGTATGATTACTCAGTCTAATTTTCTTTTATTAAGGTATTTGTTAAGAAAGAGCATTTTAATAGGTTAAAGAAAATAAGCTTTAGCAAGGTGTGAGTGGACATACAACTGACAAATGGAGGCGATTCGGAAAAGAGCTGAGAGTATAAGATTATGTGTGATTATAAAGTAAAATATAGTGCTAGAAACAGTATTGTGATATACAACTGGCTATCTTCCTTCTATTATCGAAGCTATTAGAGCCCCTTTCGTTTTTTTTTATTTGTTTTTTCTTCAGGTTTTATAGGGTCTTGAGTAGGCTTCGTATATTAGCGAGTTGTCTAGTTTGCTTGTAATAGGATTTCTGAGTAGGAGGTGAAACCAATTCAACGTTCGTAACACGATTTAAAGAGGTATTTTGCGTGATAAATCAGCTTCAATACCATAAGTCCGTGACATCCCACTAAACCATAAGGAGCCGTAATTAAACAAAATGTTCTGCCCTACAGACATGGGTGGATTGAAGTTATCTCCCCACCTTCATGTTTGCTGGTCAGTAACGCCACCCTCCCTCCTTTTGTGATGTTAGGCTCTCTTACGTTTGTGGTAAGTATGATTAATGCTTTAATCAAAGCACATAGTTGGAATACACTGTCTCTACTAGGTCCATGTTACAAGCAAATCAGATATTTAAAAATTCTGTTTTATGGGTTAGATGTCCATGTAGTATATCACACTGCTATGAAAATAACTAATGGTTTAAAGAAGTAAGGATTAATAGTAAATCAAAAGATATGAGAGGGTATAAAATTGTATAAAAGAAGAAAAAGATTTTAGGGTGAGAAAAATAAAACATTGAGAAACTCACAAGACTTTGTGGCCAAATTTTGAGCTTTGAATGATCGGCCTTAGTAGATCAGCATCCATAAGATTGAGCTATCTGTCTACTTGCAGTAGAAAAAAAAGCATGACTTTTAGGAAGAATAATGTACATTTAACCTGTAGAGATTTGGGGACTGAAAGCTAGGGTTAGGAGCATGAAGTCATGATTAATAAACAATGAATAATAGGAAAGGATAAGCCATATATCCTGTGATTTGGTTATATTTAGATTAGTAACAGTCGAACTTGTTATAATTCTGTTCTTTCTAGATACTGGGCGGTCCGTAATAAAGTGCCTCATCGGTGGGCGGGAGTTCAAGGTAATGTTGAAGCTCTTTGGAGTCTAGAAATAGGGTTATTAGCTTTTTGAATCTGGTAAACGTATCACAGTTACGGATAGGCATTGGCAGCCTGTTCCACAATAAACTGTACCGTACTGTAAAGAACTTACAACGCATTTGTTTTTGGTGTTTTACGGTAAGTAGTGTATATGCGTTGTTTCTAAGTCTATAGGCTGGGTCGTGGGTGATAGTCGGGCAGGAGGTTAAAAAGGAGAGCCCATATATCGCTTTGTAGAGAAATATTAAATTGTGTTTAAGCCTACGGTGCCATAAAGGTTCTAAAGATAGATGCTTACATCTGTCTGTGTAATCGAGATTCGAGTTACATCCTAGTAGTTGACGTGTGAAACGTCTTTGAACATCTTCTACTCTTATCTTGACTGCGATATTCATATTAGAGAAGACAAAAGAGCAGTATTCAAGGGTGGGTCGTACACATATTTTGTAGAGAGTAAGTTTACCCTCTGTTGTGAAAAAGTTTTTCATTATAAAACCAATTAGCCGTCTAGATTTAGAAATAATAGAGGAGGTATGTTCTTCAAAGTTTAGGCTTCCTGTGTAATTAATTCCTAAATCGTGTACTGATTCGAGTGTTTGGACTATACATTCATTTAAGTGAAGTCGCGGTTTATAGGGATGCTTTCCAAAGTGCATGATCCCGCACTTGTTGGGGTTAAATGGTAATTGCCATTTTTCACTCCATATAGTTAAGTTATTGAGGTCCTTTTGGATCTGTGATACACTTTCGCTTAGTGTCTCAGGCTTATAGCTGTATACTATTTTGAGATCATCAGCATATAAGTACGGTTTCCCAAATTCTATGGTGTTACATATATCGTTTATATACATAAGAAACAAAAGTGGCCCTAATACGCTTCCCTGGATGACTCCACTGGTGATTGGTCTAGGGGACGAGAGACAGTCATTGTACTTTACCATCTGTTTACGTTCTGTTAAGAACGAAGCAAACCATGAGTACAGTGGGTTGTGTATTCCGAAGGACTTTAGTTTGACGAGTAGCCTTTTGTGTGGGACCTTATCAAAGGCTTTCTTAAAGTCT